ACCCCCCCCCCCCCCGCCCACTGGCAGAGCCTCTGGTGCTGCCAGCTCCCACACCACAGGGTTTGGTGTCTCCCCCCATCTCTGACGGTCACTGTCTTGCAGCGCCGTGGAAGGGGAGATTTTCCACTTGGGGCTGCGCCTGGAGGAGCTGAAGGAGCGGCTGGAGCCGGGGGCCCGGCGGCAGCTCCCCTCACAGCGCCTGGCGCAGCCTCACACCCCTCCAGCCCCTTCCTCACCCCCAGACACCCATTCCCCGCACCCCGAGGTGAGCTGGGCATGGCTGGATGGGGCTGGGGGGTGCAAAGATGCTGGGGCGGAGGCACCCTGCTGCACCTGGGGGGGTGGTTGTGCTTCTCCAACCCCCTTTTGTTGTGCCCTGCAGATCCCTGTGCTGGTGGAGGGTCCCCAGGAGACAGCGGAGGATGGCAAGGCAGTGATGGGGGGGTTGCCCCGGCCCCTCTGGCACAAGCAGCTCCAAGTGGAGGAAGATTTCGGTGATCTGCTGGAGCAGTGAGTGCCCTCGCGGCAGGGCCGGGGGGGGAACACGGGCAGGGAGCGGCTCCTCAAAACCACCAACTCCTGCCTGTGGGTCCCCGCCAGGTACAAGCACTTCAAGTCCTTGCCGGAGTCGCTGAGCCTGGAGCAGCTGAGCCTGGCAGAGAGCGAGACCCAGGAGGAGGCGGATGGACCTGCAGCAGGGTTCGGTGGCCCCAGCAAGGTCTCCTGCAGGACACGGTCACTGGAGGAGGGGACAGACCCCGAGACCTCCCCCTTGTAAGTGTCATGGGAGGACAAGACTCCCAGGCAGGGGGGAGCAGGAGATTTTATATTAGGTCTCAGGTTTTACATCACTGTCATCGATAGGCTTCAGAGTTAACAGCCTCCACGGGAGATCTGACTGCATCAGGGCATTTCCCCACGTTTGGGTTTGCTCTGCCCCATTGCTCATGCTCCCTCCTTTCCCTGCAGGCACCCCCCGCAGTGGACAGCCACACCACTGCCCCCCAGGGAGCCCCCGTGGCCAGAGGGGACACAGGTCCACCCGTCCCCTGCCACTGCTGAGGAGCCACCGGCCACAGCCAAGCCCCCCCCAGGGCTCCACGAGCCACCGCGGGGGCCCCAGTCCTGCTGCAGCAGCGGGAGAGGCAGTGCTGCTGCCCAGCCCCAGCCCTGCAAGGTGAGTCCCCTGGGGCTGTGGGTCCCCAGCTACCAGCACCCCTAGTCCCTGCCAGGGGGTGCTCAGCACCAATCCTGCTCTCCCCGATGGATCTGCAGGAGCAGCGCATTGTGTCACCAGAGACGGACAGCGGCTTCGTGGGCTCAGAGGCCAGCAGGGTGTCACCCCCTGTGCACACCCCCGAGCACCGGCCGCCCGGCACTGGGTACTGCTCAGGGTCCCTGCCCACGCCCTGGGGCGGGATTTGGGGACATGGGTTGGTGGTTCTGTCTGGGGGGATTTGGGGAAGTAAAGGGGAGCAGGGATGCGGGGAGAGATGGTGAAGATGTGGGGAGCAGGGTGGAAGGTTGGAGATGTACAGGGTGGCCCATGGCCAGGCGACAAGCCGTGGGGGCTGCACGCATGACCTGTCCTGTTTCCAGGACCCCTCGCTCACTGGGACTCTCCATCCCCGTCCCCACTACCCTCCGTCCTCTGCGGAAAAGAGAGGCAACCACACTGCCCTCTGAGACAGCGCTGATGGGCATCTACCCTGCGGGCAGGCAGGGTGGCGCAGGGGGACCCTGCCTGCCCCCCAGCACCCCCTTGCAGAGCAGCTCCCCCCACCGATGGGCTGAGAGTGCAGGCAGCGAGGCGGGACCCGACGGTGATGGCAGTGAGTAGGCAGCGTTTCGGGGAGGGATGTATCCCCAGGGAGAGGGATTTGAGGGGGTCCTGGCTCTGCGGGTAGAAGAGGCTCTGGTTTATGGTGTTCCCCCAAACCCCCTTGGGGTGCTGACCTGGTGGTGCCTCCTACCTGCTGGCTCTGCTCTCCCAACTCTTTCCTGGGGGGGACACACCCCGACGTCCCACACCACTGACCTCGGCTCACTGTGCCCCCTCCTCCTCCCCAGCTCACACGGACTCAGAGGTGGAAGGCAGGAGTTGTGCCAGCACCGGCGGTCACCTCCCCGCCATGGCCAGGGGCCCAGCCAGCCCCCCACCGTCTCCTGAAACACTGTCCCCCACCCCGCTGTCCCCCAACCCATCATCTCTCCAGCCGGCTCACTGCGACCTGCTGGGCTCCCGTCTGGAGCGTGAGTGAGTGTCTATGTACCCCTCATAAAACCAGGACAGCCCCCCCTGGGTGACACAGGGACCCCGCCAAACAAAGTCCCCAAAAGCACCAGTATCTCCTGCTGGGCAGCAGCAGGTTTTCTCTTCTCAGAGAGCCAGGACCTAGCTGGGGCTGAGTCCTTCAAACTCCTGACACATGTGGGCTGGCTGAGACCAGACCCCAGCCCAGAGAAACCCCAGGCTTGGTTCTGGGCAGCATCACAGCATGAGCTCCTGAGTCCTGGCTGGTGGGGATGGGGGCAGGCACGGGGTCTGGGGAGGACGGGACTGCTCCCTGCTTGGGGCACCCAGTGGCAGCCAGCACCATTGGGAGCCTCGCTGGCTGCTGGTGCCCCTCACTGTGGCATCTGTCCCGCGGCAGCCAGGCCATCCGGGCGCTGCGGGACGAGGTGTGGCGGCTGCGGCGGAGGCTGGAGGAGAGCCTGCGCCGCT